GCAAGAAACCACTCGCTCACAGCCGACTGCATCTCGCACGTTCTCCCACCAATCTCCTCGCAGGTATTGAGTCGCACACTGCAGGTAGTATCATCAGCAAACAAAACGAAGCTAACAGTGTCGTCGCCGCACTCAGGTAAGTTGTTGATATATATTAAAAACAATAGAGGTCCTAAGACTGATCCTTGCGGGACGCCCACTGCCAGCTCCATGCTCTCCGATAACACACCATCCACTCGTACACGTTGAGACCTATTTGCAAGGTAAGACTGCATTATTTTTAGGCTACTGTCATCAAAACTATAGGCTTGAAGCTTGCTTAGAAGGAGAACGTGCTCAGGTCGCAGAAGATGGTGCTGGTATACTCCAGACTCTCAAACGACTCCAGTACTCCCGCAACAAACTCTGTTATGCTAGAGATTGTGCTGTGCTGCTCCCTAAAACCATGTTGAGCATCAGTGAAAAGATTATTGCTTTCGAAGTAGTGCAGTATTTGAGCAGAAATGCACTTTTCGAAAACCTTTGACAGAACATGGAGCAAAGAAATAGGCCTATAGTTGCCCACATCATCCCTTCCCCCCTTGCCCTTGTAAATTGGAACAACCAACGCACACTTCAGTATAAGTTCTGTGTAGAAATGTTAGCATTGTGCGGACTCTCATCCCTACCCAGGCCTTCCCTAATTACGTCCCATATGACTTTGGAGGGGTTATTTGCATTCTGAATGCGAATGTCATTGTGCCTTTTCTTGGCATCTTTTATTGCTTTTTTGTACTGTCGTCGGTAAAAGTTACGTTGCTGTAATTAAGCCTGAGTTGGACTAGCCCTATAAAGATCTTTTGTGAAGCAGACCCACTCCCTGAATTCCCGTAAATAGTCACTAAACCAAGGGCATAAGCTCTTAGTAGTTCTTACCTTATATATATATTTTTTCAGGAAAAGCAGATTCAAAAGCCTCCGACAGTACATTTATAAAATTTTCAGCCTTAGCATCAAGAGTTTTGGACATATCATCAAGAAAATTCCAAGCGATTCCCTCAACCAACCTAAAAAAGTTAAGTTTGCCTACCTCTGTTATCGGTCTACAGATTCTATGAACAGGAGACAGTCTCAAGCTGCCCTTGCAAGGTGTAGGGAGCGCCAATATTTGAGCAGTGTGATCAGACAAATTGAAATCTATACTCTCTGTAATACATTGGTCTAGCTCTTCAAAATTATTCAGAAATATGTTGTCCAAACAATTGGGACCTCTAGTATTAACATGGAACATTTGTTTGAAGCCATAAGTGTTTATAAAATCTCTAAATCTACAATCTTCATTGCTATTACTTCCAAAACCAATATTGAAATCCCCCGCTAAAACAATTTTTTTCTTCTGACTTACTAAATTAAAAGATCTTTCCAGGACATCCAAAAACAAATTGAGACTACCAGAAGGTGACCTCTAAACAGAAATAACATATAAATCATAATTTTTAACATATATACAGCAAATTTCAATATTCTTTTCAACCGAGAGGTCTCTAATTTCAGCTTTTTCTTCAACGTCCACTATGGATTTTGTAAAAATAGCTGTTCCTCCACGGATAAATTGTGTACGGCTGAATTCCGCTGCCAGCTTACAACCGAGGGGTCATCCACATCTGGGAATTCCTGGACATTTTAGAGGGAATAACATGGGAATACTTATATGACCAGTTGAGGATACATAGGAATACATTTATATTATTTAGGAATACAGGGGGAAAAGTGGGATTACATGGGAATACAGTTGGGAATACATGGGAATACACGGGAATACATACATTGATGCGCATGTGTCAATATTAAACAAATCAGAATCATCGTATGCCATCACGGCCGAGATGACGTCAGGCGCCACGAAGTCGTCTGACGCTTTTTTTAAAAATTTTTGAGGCCCTCAATCTGAGCCCTAATCCTCAAATTCCAAATTTGCAATAGTCTGGTGAAAGGCGAAGTAAAACGTAACAAATGAAAAACTATTGATTTGTATCTAGTGCTCGATCTAGTGATTCCAGAGATTTGCATTTTATTTGTAAAACTGCTTATCATTTTTGTATTTATTTGTATCCCTTAATTTGTAAAAGTTAAAAGTTGGGAACTTTTCAAGGTGGTTCTCAAAAATTCAATTAGGAAATAAGCATTTGGATGAACGCTCTCATTCAAAGACTTTGTTAACTTCTTATGAATCAAGAATAAGATATAAAGCACTGAGAATCAAGAAGTATACTCAGGAGTTAGTTAATCCCGGCCTAACACAGTAAATTCTATTTCGGAAAGCGTCAGTTGTATTAGGTTAGTTAATTTTATTTTGGAAAGAGTCAATTATATTTCAGATTAGTTTATATTATTTAGGAGAGCGACAATTGTATTTCAGATTATTTAATTTTATTTCGGAAAGCGTCAATTGTATTTTAAATTAGTTGATTGTATTTCAGAAAATGTGAATTATATTTTAGAATTTGTCAGATGTAGTTCAAAAATCATTAGTTGTATTTCAGATATTAGGAGTATAAGAAATACATACTATGTAATGTGACGCGCATGGACATTTTAGCGCCGAGCGCAGATACCTACGCAAATTTTCCCAAATCAACATGGAACCTATTATAACTTTTATTTTCAACCGTATTGAGATGTTGACATTACAGACTTTATAAAATCTTGAAATTGTCACATTTCTGTACTTTTACATTTTTTCAGGACAGTAATGCCACAGACAGGAAAATGCATTTCCGTCCCGATTTCCTTACTTGTTTTTTTTTTCTGTCAAATATTTGCCAACTTTCTTTTTTTGACCTTTGTGACTGTCAAAATTGATGGCATTGACATAAATAAAGTGAAAACTGATTTTTATCAAGGCCAATTTACACTATCAAAGCGTTTGACAAGATGTTGAGAATTTCGTTTAATAAAATATTTTGCCTCAGAAATTGAGGGTTGAAAATAAAATACAAACCTTGACAGAGAACTTCATTGGTGTCTCGAGGTTTAGTTTATCTCGACGCTAAGCGTCTCGATAAACTATATAACCTCTTAACCAGCAATGAAGCATTTTCCATCTTGGATTGTAATATACTATTATTTATTACACTACATTGATAACATTTGAAATACATTTGACGAATTCTGCATTACAATTATACAATTTACAATTTCTGGTCTACAAACAAATAATCTCAAACCCAAATGACGGTTTCTGAAGTAGTAACCAAATTGAAATACAAATGACTATTTCTGAAATACAGCTGACCAAACTGAAACATAAATTACCTTTTCTGAACTACAACTGACAAAGTTGAAATACAAATAACAGTTTATGAAATTAAACTTAAACAACTGAAATACAATTGACACATTCTGAACTAAAATTGATGAATCTGAAATATAAGTGAGACAATCTGAAATGCTTATGAAAAAGGTGTATTGATACAGATGACTTCAAGGCAAATACAGGGTGTCCCACTGGGAACCACATCAATTTATTTGTGAAAAACTGTATGCAGAAAATTTTTGAAAATTTGACAGTATACTAATGTCAATGGGGGCAGCCCGGCTAAAATATTTTCAAGATGGTGGCACCATGATTAAAAATTCCAATTAAATTTAATTTCCGGTTAAATTCAAAGTTGGTGTCAAATGATAGTTTATGAAAATCTAAGACAGGAATGTAAAATCGGTTTTCCTCTGAAATTAACCGTTTAGGTTTTACAGCTTGTCAAAGTTGCAAAAAGTCAATTTTCAACTGTCAATATTTCCAAAACAGTTGAACGTAGGTATAGGGTATATCACATGAAATCTGCTCAGAGTTTTACGTAGAATCCAAATATGCAATAATATACAAAGTGTCTCATTTAAAATAAGCAGTTGACGTCTACTTCCGGTATAACTGAAAGTACCAACAACTTGAAAATATTTTAGCCGGGTTGCCCCCATTGACATTAGTACACAGTAACGTTTTCTGCACACAGTTTTTCACATATAGATCGATGTGGTTCCCAGTGAGACACCCTGTATTGCCTTGATGATTTCAAGTGATATTAAAAGCTCGATTAAAACGCTTTCAAATGTACACTAGCAAAGATTTTAAGTTCTATTTTCTGACTTAGCTCTTTTTCAAACGCCTATATCACGTGCTGTAGCAAAAATAACTCTTAAAGGGAGTGTGACCCAAAAAAACAACTTGAGCTACTTAAATCAAGAAAAAAAATCTAAAATCTCTCGTGAAAACCGCAGTCCTATATTCACAATAGATCTCCTTATGAACACAAATTTTGTGGGAACCTGTGACGTCACACCGGCTAACCGCCAAAATCGCAGCCTTCTGTTTGTTCAGTCGTCAGTGAACCGTGTCCTATACTTTGAGTGGTTGCAATTTGCTCTAAGTGGGATCGTTGACTTTTATTTTGGAAAATTTTACACGTATTTAAACTGTGTCGCAGAATCCGGTGAGGCGTCACAGCCTGGGCGTTCTTCACTTTAAACCGCCCTAACTCGAATACGGTTGATCGTAGCAATATGCAGTTTAAATATTTGTTCTAAGATTTTTTTTTAGCACTAAAACTTTAATTTTTGGGTTACACCCCCTTTAGTAATACATAGGAAATTATTTAAAAAAAAAAAAACAACATGGGAACACATAATAAAAATACTTAGAAATACTTGGGAATAGGATGGAAATAACTAGGAATACATGGGAATACTTTGTAACAATCGGGAAATACTTAGAACTACCTGGGAAATACTGGGAATAATTTGGAAACATCCAGGAATACTAAAGAATACTGGGAATACTTGAAAATTCACGAGAGTATTCCCAAATATGGGAATTCCTGGACGTTTTCCCTTTGGGTGGTTGACTCCTCGGTTACAACTATAGTATGAAAATTTGCACATGAAAAATAATTTTTACAATATTCCATTTGTTATACAAAATAGTCAAATTCTATTATTTTAAAAAAATTATTTATTTGTTGCAGACTCTCTGGTTGTCCAAGATCAGACAGGGGCCAAATCCAAGCCCACTCCCAAGAACTCAAGTGTCCCACACCGGGATGTGACGGTTCTGGACATGTTACAGGAAACTATTCATCCCACAGGAGTCTTTCTGGATGTCCCAGGGCTAACAAACCGAAAAGCAAACCCAGAGATGGACAAGATTCTGAACCTCTACGGTAAGGCAACGGAATATTATTATATTTGAAAATTAACAAAAATTAGTAATGATTTTATATAATATTGGCCTTTTCGCGTTGCTTCGGTTTTAGGGAAAAATGACCTCAAAGAATTAATTATGAGAACATGTGTACTTTTTTTATGAGAAATTTTGTGTTCATCTATTTTTTTCTAAAATCTCATCATTTCAAAAAATATTCATTTTATTTGAGAAGCAAGCGCCTCATGAATACTCTGTATTTTGATTAATAGATAAACAATGTAGCATAATGAATGTACCTATGTCAAAATTTCAATCTTAAAAAATGGTTACAAATTATACCATTAATTAACTTTCGATGCAATTGATGGATTTTCAATGTACTATTTATTTGTCGCCTGTCAGAAAATTTCTAAACCACACCACGTGAAAACGCTGTATTAATTGTTATATATTCATATTGTAGTTTGTTTGATAATAAAAAAATTCGTCTGCACGCTACCAGATGCCCTATTCCAGGGTGTGATGGATCTGGACATGCTACAGGAAAGTTTTTGTCGCATAGGAGGTAAATACATCTCAAAAGGAAATAAATATTATGTTTTTTTGTTTCATACTTAGCTATTGTAAATGTACAGTACTTAGATTACAGAAACATTTTATATTTAGATGTTTTGTTATAAATTACTTGCCATAATTATGAAAACATTTGACCTTTTTGTAATCTGCGTATGTAGACTTACAATGAAGAAGCAAAATAAAAATATAATAAATATTTTATTCTTTTAACTTTCAGTATAACTGGTTGTCCTAAGGCAAAATCATTGTAAGTTTACACTATTTTAAGGGATTAATATTTTAATTCATACGCCGATTACAAAAAAAAGCATTTTTATATAAAAGTACCATCTTATACCAACTCGGATAGAGCTGGAATTTCTGATGGATATACTTTTTTTAACCTTCATCAACCATCATATTTGTTGTATACTGTAAATAACATCATCTTATTGAAGTTTAGCTCAAGTTTTCTGGTATAGAAAATGTCCCTATATATACTTGTAACTTAATCCATGATTCATTGGCTGATTGCTCTAAGAATTTTAAATTTTGATGACTAAGTACTAAAATGACAACAAATTTTCGATTTTTATACAGTGTAGGGCTCAAGGATTTTCTCCCATAATTTGTGCTGTAAGCCTCATGGTAAAACATGAGATTGGATTTCCACTGATATTGAAATATGAATTTTATTTGTCAGACTCATAAAGTTGATGACAATAATTATTATTTATGTACCTACCCACATGAACGTAGAAAAGATTAACTCCTCGTATATTCCATTCGAAAATTACAGATGTGATTTCGCTGAAATTTTAAGGAATCAATGATGATCACTTGACAAATAGAATTCTTACAAATCGATAATGCATGTTTGTCTGTGATAGGACTTTTGTTGAAATTCTAGAACAAACGGTATTGGTGCTATCTCTTCCCAGCTCATGTTGAATGCGACTCATTTTCTTGACACAAAATAGTCAAGTTATCTTTGTCTGATTCCTTACAAGTTTTAAATAATAACTTCTTTTCGTGGAGCAGATAATACTTACCTTCAATGGCAAAAATTATCATTACGGGAAAACATCCTTGCAAAATATGTAAATGTCCCACTTTTACTAAATTTGTATGTCATAAAGACTCTTATTGTAATCTTATTTTATTCCATAATTTTTCCCGAACTGTATTTTTAAATATCGATAGTTTTGGAAAAAACTTGTAGCTCTTATCGGGCCTGCTAATCCAAGAAAAAAGACTAGTTGTTCCAATTTGAACTGTGTATGAAAATACAGATGTATCAGTTCAACCAATCTTCATTTTGAGCCCGAGACGAGAATTAATAAAAATAGTTTAATAGGAACTTTGGAATTATAAAATAATAGAAAAAAATTGATAGGCATAGTAGTGGATGCATCGATGACTAAAAAAAATTGTAATAATACTTGCATTTGTGTGTACTTCAAAATGTCCCCCTCATGGTGCTTACACCTTACAGCTTGCTCATGTAAATTAATTACCACATAGGAGGTCTCCTATTGGAAATGATGTTTGCATTGAGCTTGTAGTCTGCCTAATATCTTGTTTATAACTTTCAAGACCAATAACTGCATGTGCATGTAGGCTTGCAATAATTATAAGATTTTATAACAATTAGGTAACCAACGAAAATTTTAGGAAGAACCGTGCCTTTTTCGCTTTAATGGCTGCTAGTTTATGTTGCTTCATTTACACTCCAGAAAATTTTCCATGAGGGAGTTATTTTTGGAGTCCTGGCCTCTAATGGTCTATGATTATACCTCCTACTTAAATAGTTCATTTTTGAATTTTAGCGCATCCGGTTGTCCGATCGCCAACAGGAACAAAATGCGAGTACTCGAAAGCGGCGGCACAGTGGAACAGCATAAGGCCGCTGTAGCTGCTGCGACAGCAATGAAATTTGAAGGAGTCAACTGTCCAACACCTGGATGCGACGGAACCGGACACATCAACGGTTCTTTTTTAACGCATCGGTCCCTTAGCGGTTGCCCGGTGGCTGGGCAAACGGTGAAGAAGAGCAAATACCCGGAAGATATGCCGTTTTATGCTAAGGGATATACAGGTAAAGAAACCAATACATGCCCAATCCACATTTGATTTGTGAATGTAATATAATATTTTCGTTGACCATTACGTCATAATCGTTCTATTTCATTCCCAACATTTATGTTCAACATCAAAGATTCTCAATGTGAGCCTTTTAAATGTTCAAGAGAGCAAAAAATAAACCACCCACTGTAATTTCTTGCCATTCTATCACAAATTAATCTCAATTTTTTCCTTGGACATTTAAGGTGCGTCAAACACTTGAGAATTTTCTAATAAATGAGAGTTTCTTTGTTCCTTTGTTCCAATATTTTTTGATGCTCTTGAGCTCCGAAAAAAATTGTAGAACATGGCTACAATCATCGATTTGGAATATGACGTAAATAGTGACAAAGTGTATCTAATAGCTCTGTTATAACAGATTTAAGAACCGTTCTAGAACGGTAATTTCTAGTTGATCAATTCATTTGTCAATTAGTATAAACTGGCAACTGGAAATTAGTGGTTCTGGAACAGTTCTCGTGTCAGTTGGAACAGAGCTAATGAAGCAAACTCTGAACCAAAAATAGTTTTTAGTTGTCTCAAAAGTTGCTATTTACAATTTTCCGCGCCTAAATAAAAGCAGGAAGGTAGTACTTTCCGCACGCTAGTAAAAAAACTTTTTAATGTACAGACAGGTACCTACCTGAAGTATGATAATGACAATGACAAGAAAAGTTAAACAAATTTAGCAAAACAATCAACGGACAATTAGAGAATATCCGGAAGTTTCAAACTTTATAGAAGACAAAGCCGCTTTAATTCCAGACATTGTAAAGGACCCCGCAGTAATCTTATCGAAATTGGGTCCTGGCTAATGATATAGTTTTTGAGCTTCTCATCAAAACCTATCATTGCGCAAATGTGCCATCATCGCTAGTTTTCAAATTATTGGGCCTTTTTTTAGTTTTTTGGGTCCCGCTCGGAAACGGTAAACGTCAAAAGGTTTTGACGTGTATTCTCGCACTTCGCACTTCTGAAAACAGTCGCAAAACTAGTTTCAACCGATGAAATTCTCTGACTGGTTTGTATTTCTGCGCCAACAGACCTAACAATATGTAATACAAACTTCAACAAACAGCTCCAACATAAATGATAACATATTGGCGAAAGCACCCACTCATTGAAACACGCCTAAAGAAGTTTTTACTTCAAAAAATGATCAAACAGACTCGAGTTTCAAAACACGTCATAACCTTTTGACGTTTACCGCTTCCAAGCGTGACTCAAAAAACCAAAAAAAAGGCCCAATATCTTGAAAACTAGCAATGGAAACACTTTTGTGCAGTGATAGCTTCTGATCAGAAGCTCAAAAACTATCATATGCCAAAGTTGCAGAAAATTTAGCCGGGACCCACTTTCTATGAGACTAGTGCGGGGTCGTTTGCATGTACCACTTTCCAAATGCTCTTTGTGATTTATTTTGCACCATACTACACAATCTTTTTTAAAAGTAGTTGGAACAACTTTTTGAATGTGCTTTGTATAAAGCGAAAACTGATACAATTTTGGCATTAACGGGTCAAATTTTGATGCAATACAAGGTGCGTTCAAAAATTTGTGCCAATTCCAATGGCCGCAACTGTACCTATTGAATTAAAATTCACCTTGGAAACTTGTTCCAACGAGATTCACAAATCGCACTTCTTTTCGGAACAAAATTAGCATCTGAAGTTCCCAAGTAACCTCTTTAGTCAATAATTATACCCAACCCCGAAATAGGACATCGACTTTCTCTACTATAGTCAGTGTTGCCAGCTGCAGGAAATATTTCCCTATGAAAATTTTTCATTGCCAAAAGGGAATCTTTAATGAGATGAGGGAATTCTTGTTTCAGGACTGTTCTAAAATAATCCTTAGAGCAGAACTGCTTGCGCGTTGGACGTTTGGAACTGTTTCCTTGCTATTCAAGATTCTTGTCAATGCTGAATAACCTATAACCTGAACTGCATTTACATTGGCATTAATAAAATTATAATATATCGTCTTTTTATAAATCCAAAGGACTCAAAATGTTACTTGGGTCCCTAACATAACTCCAATTGGGTTAAAAACATTCCTTTATATTGAACATATTTGTAAAAGTCTAATGGCATCACTCATTTGCAGACATCTTTTTCTAGGTATGGACCAAAATCAGGCTGGGGGCGAAGATCTTATGACTCTCGAAGCCGAAATCTCCGAATTGCAGCGCGAAAATGCCCGGGTCGAATCACAAATGATCAGATTGAAATCTGATATTAATGCAATGGAAAGCCACTTGACACAAGGAGAAAAAGTAAGTAAATATTCAGTCAGGCGTGAGCTCTTTGTTCCAACAAACCAAACAGTTTGTAGTTCAATTTGTTTTCTTGGTGCCTGCATCAATATTCAAGTTCATAATTTGGATTAACTGTATGGGATTAAAGTGCTGCAATCCTGAGTGGTACAAAAAGTCATATCCTCTGTTTGTATTTTGACAAATGTTCAACATGCTTGATACTATGATACAATATTTTTTTTTACCAATTGGTGCCCTTCAAATAAAAATCTCTTATCTAATTCCGATATTGAATGATAGTATAAAAACCACGGTGAGAAACCTAACGTATAGTTTCGTATCCCAGCGTTTTCGTAAAAAAGCAATCGGACTACAATAAACCCTTTCCCGGCAGGAAACTCAGGCGCTGACTCAGCGCAGCTCAAATCTCAACGAGTATTACGAGAGTCTAAGGAGCAACGTGATTACGTTCCTGGAACATGTACGTTTACCCGGTAGCGGCAGTACTCAACCGGATAAAATCGGCCACGAGAACTTTGACTCCTATTTGAGCAAACTTCAAACTTTGTGCACGCCGGATGGTTACTGCAGCGACGAGAACCGGCCGCTTTATGAAACCGTCAAGTGCGCTCTGCAGGATTTCACGGTTCTGCCCACACCTATTTGAATTAATAAAAATAGGTGAAAGAACATTTAAATTTTTGATGTAAATGGCCCTTTATTGTATTCAAAAATTGAAATTTTGACGCCTGGCGAAATACTTGTTTAGTGGCGCCATCTTTTACCAACATAATAATATACTACAAACCAAGAAAATAAATCCCTACATCTTTTGCATTTCTCAAACCTAAATCGATTGCAAACCAGGTTTGTCTGGATTAGTTATGCTACGTCCTCTAACATTAACAAAGGAGGGTTTCATAAAATGCCCTTATTGATCCTAAGGATTTTAACTAAAACCTTTTTCATTCAATTTCATGTTAGATTTCTTTTCTTGTTGATCGTCGGGCGTTAAACTTTCTCCAAAAAAGTAGATCTAAATACCAACCAAAATGTCTGTTTAAACCCTATTAAGAATCTAGCGCTAAACTAAATGTTCTAACCCATAAACGCCTAGAATCTAAGCCATTATAATGAAATAACAAAACCATTTGTACGTAATGTTAAATTGTGATCTCTGTATATACATATATATTTTAGAGGCTAACATTGTATAGAAAAAGTATACCGACCTCAGTAATTTTTTCCATTTTTAAATGTAAATAACGATAATAACAATATGAGACAATTATTAGCGCAAATCCTAGTTTTTTGTATATACATACATTGAAATTATTTGTTATGATACTAATAATGTATTTCAGTTTGGTTGAGTTCGTTAAGTTTTTTTTTGTAAAGAAAAACATGTATGTAGTTTCTCATATACAGGACAAATGACTTTAGTGGATCGTGGATATTATGCTTGCCCATATCTTCTAGTAAAAGATGTATTTTCTTGAAATTTTTTTTGTTGACAAAATGTTGAGTTGAAGTTACATTTTACCTGTTCCAAAAAATGCTTTTAAATGCCCTTTCGTATTAGCCGAATTTTTTAAATCTGTGATTATGAGGTAATATTGTTAGTATTATTTCAGTAGTTATTTGTTATCCTGTGTTACAAGCTAGTGGCAAACCTTGTCTCATACCTGATTTTTTTCATCTTGAAAGAAAAAGATCAGGCAAACTTTCCTTCCAGACAAGCCAATTTTTATCATCTTGCTTAAAAAAAAAATCCTCATTTTGTATTTATCTTAGGCAAAACTGATGGAGATAGAAAAAAAGGACACAGAAGAACCCAATCATGTTTTGCTTCAGTACCAGTTTCAATTTCAGTACTATGTACTTTTATGTTAAGCACCAACCTAAACTGTGTTTTCTAATCCTTAGGCTGGATTTTATAAAACTTTTGAAAGCACTTGTGCTTAACAAATGTTCAGGAAACAAAACAATATAAGCAGTAATCTAAAAATCAGATCTAGTTTTTTTTAAAAAGCAAGATCAAGTACTTAATATGTTAATTACAATTTGCGACTGTATTTAAAATTAGGTTTATGATTAGGTTAGACCGCATCATTAATTTACTATTGTTTAATTTATTAACAAAATGTATAATTATAACGCTCATTTGTAAGTGAACCTAATGGAGCTGAGACTAACACTAATGCTATAGATATTGTCCTAGCTGGTATTTGGTATTAATAAACATTTATTGTTTCGATTTTAGTTATCATTGACGTTTTTGAACATTTACAAGGGTGAATTCCTTTTATGTTTCGTTTTTCTATTACTGTTGTGTACTTTGTAAATAAAACAAAAGTGTAAGCAGAACTTATTCATTACTAAAATAATTATTTGTTCACCAAATATATATGTTACTATACATGTGTTGTTATTATGAATAAATAAAGTAAATTCAAAGGCCAAAAATTGTAGTTTTTTTTTTTGTAGTGAGAATCATTGTAGCAATCTTGTGATCAACTAGGTTTTTGAAATCATGGTAGAAGTTTTTTCACCTAGTTCTTCATCATGTTTACGGAAAAAATATTGGCTATGTCGATATCCATGTCAATTTGATTGGTAGCTTAACATTCCATACATACATGCTTTCATTATTGTCCTGATGAATGTGGTCAAACTTCATTCTTCCTCATCGAATAGCTTTTTGTCTGAAACTTTAATATTTCTTACCAGATTTCATGAAAGATGCAACCTTTTTTTGTGCCAGTTCGCTTTGCTCAATAAAATTGAAACTGTGCGTAGACTGCTGGTAAAAAGTTTAAACAGATTAAAACTCACATTTAATTTATTTAATCAACTTCGTAGAGCTTTTAAAACAATTTTTTGAATACATGTATCAATGACAAAAATTCCCTAGTAATAAAAACAAAATTAAAAAACTATATACATAACGAATACTAATGGAATGTGATATATCTCACAGTAATTTTTATTAACACATTATTAAAATTATTAACCACTTTGAGGAATTAGTCCATGTTTCTCTGGCTCGAAGAATTCCTCACATATGGCAGTCACCATCTCTTTGAGGGTGGCTTCTGCAACGGATCTATTCCTGAAAATAAAATAACAAATTGACACTTAGAACTCACGATAGTTATGATTGGTGTATTAGGAATTTAAAGAAAGGAATAACATTAATAATGGGCATCTCAACAAGAACTTTAGTTTAAAATGTTGGGATGCTTCCTGACTTTTTCAAAACCCGACAAGAAGTAGTCCAGAGGGGTTAAAATGCAACTTGGTCTCTAAACAGAGATATTGTCTAGAAACTTTGTTTGCAACAACGACAATATTTGGCATGAAGTTTGGCTGTCTATTGAAACCACATTCCCTTTTTTTTCCACCTAAAAAAGTTGGTCAACATGCGACAGTAGCAATCACCATTGAAAATCAAGGAAGCCACCTTCTTGATACAGAAATAAGGATCAATGATCGCTTCTGTCCATTGAATTGTTACTTTATCAGGGCGCATCGCATGTGGACGTCCTGCCCATGTAGTCCATTGTCTCCTAGCTTAAGTTCACGTGTTGACTGGATTTTCAAAGAATACTGTAACGGAACATTTTCGTTATTATCAATGTTTCCACAAAGCACCAAATATGGCTGACTAAACATTTGACAGATGAAAATGACGCACAAATAAAAAACTAAGTTCTTGTTGAGACAGTTTACAAACATAAACATTTGTCCAATTTCATGTTTTTTCATTAGTAGAAATATTTCAGCTATACGGAGTGTAATTGTATTTGACTTTTTCCTCAAAGCCCGTTTTTCAGAAAGTTCAGTTCATAAGTCATATTTTCTCCCATTTTTCAGAAGGCATAAGACCATCCAAAACTTTTTTGGTCATTAAAATGTAATAAGCCAAATGGGTACACAGTTTTTAGCATGATTTTTTTTTGTGTGCCACAGAAACTTTTTTATTTTTATAAGTTTTCGCAAAAAAGTATTGAGAATATTATTCACATTTCACAGGCTTTGAGAAAAAGCCAATTCACATAAATACGTTATAGCTTTGTCAACCACTTACTTGACTTCTGGGGTCATGCATAATTCGCTGTAATACTTAATTTTCGGTTCTGTTCCGCTAGTCCTCAAAGTTATATGCAAACCGTTATCAAAGACGAAAGTGATCATTTGAGAGCTACTGGACACCGGCAGAATTGCCTTGTTATCGGGTTGAGAGTTATCATAGCCAGTTGTCAGGTCTCTGATGGACACAATTTTGTATTTGTCGTTCAGGATTCCGGTTGGATACTGAAACAAAAATGGTTTTATTTTTATGGAAAACTGTCTAGTTTGATGATAGGGGAATTAGAATTAGCTCAACTACATAATGATAAATTTGATATTTTTTTTCAATCAATAATTGTTCATTTTTTTTTTTCAATATTTACATACCTATAGGGTTTCTCTTTCCTGAAATTGTTTGCATAGGTTCTACTAGAAAAGTGTAATAGTTAAAAGTACTTTATATTGGCCTGAAATTCTTAAACATTGACCAGTAGTACGGCAGCTTAGCTAGGATATTTCAACATATTGTGCACTTTTTGATGAAGACGCCAAATTTGACACAGAGGTAGACCGATGTACTGTTAACAAATTTTGATGTGGAGCCATCGACCAACTGCCCCCAGGCGGCCGTGGCAACGATTTTTTGAAATGACCGCCAGTTTACATTCCGGAAGACAACGGAAGTAAGATAAAGTTTGCTACTGGAGGTTTTGTTTACTTATTGTTTTGAATGGGAACATGCCAGATGGTTTTTAAGTTATGCAGGGTGGGGCACGAAAAATTTCCCACCTAGGTTTTATCAAGTCTCGTCTCAGGTTTTAGATGATTATTCAAAAATGGCTCGGACACGTTATTTTTTGTTTTTTTGGAGACACATTTTATTGTTATTTCCATCCTCTACCTGTCAGCCTCCAAGCGGGGGTGTCAGGTACCCACAAAATTTCAAATGGAAAGAGAGTTCGAGTGATACGATGTACTATTTCCATTTCCTAACTTCCACAAGCCGCAATTAAGGCAGGGTAAATAGTAGCAACTTAAAATTTCGAGGATAAAAATCTCCATCAAATTACGTATCACCCGACACCCCTTTCTGTTCGAAATTTTGGAGGTACCTGTCACCTCCGCTTAGAGGTTGACAGTTAGGGGGTGAAAATACCAATGAAATGGTCAAGCGATTTTTGATTAATCAGCTAACACCTGAGAAATCCTGGGTGGGACGTTTATCGTGCCCCATACTGTATATACAGGGTGTCCCACGACGTTTTACCCAAGCAAATATGGCATTGCCTACTTTGTAATTTATTTTCTAACGAAAAATGATATAATACCATCAGTTACATTCAAGATTCTAAAGTGACCGTCACTTGACCGAAATTGAAGCGAAAGTGAAATTGGATGACGCATCTAGAACCGGCACAAAAAGTTACCCAGACCCTCAAAATTTCAATTATATTGGATGACGTTCCGAAGTTATCATCTGGGTAAAACGTTGTGGAAGACCTTGTAATATACAGGGGTCGTATTTTCGAATTCATTCGACTACATTTCGTACACAAAATTTGACTGACAGCAATGTAAATTAAATGGGGGGCATTCGAAATTTTATAAAATTTCGTATGTGAGAATATTCGAAAATAAGACCCCAGGGCGGGCCACGAAAAACTTCTCACCCAGGTTTTTTCAGATGTTAGGTGAATAATTAAAAATCGCTCGACCATTTTATTGGTATTTTTGCCCGCCTACCTGGCAACCCCTAAGGGGGGTCGAGTGATACGTCATTTGATGAAAAGTTTTATTAAGATTATATTCTCGAAATTTTAAGTTGTGGCACTGCGGCAGGGTAAATAGCACTGAAGTAGTATAAGAAGGTTTGGAATGGGTTTTGCTCGGGGTTTTGCCTCATTCAAGCGATTCCAGAATGAGATAGCGCTAGTAAGGGCAGAAAATCTATCGAATCTTTTACTCTAACCCTGACTGAGATAGCGGTAGTAAGGTCAGGAAAATCACACGGATCTCCAAACCTTCTTACTACTTCATTGGTAAATAGTCCCTGCCGAAATGGCAGCTCGTCAAAGTTAGGAAATATGTAGTACATTGTATCACTCGGACCCCCTTTCCATTTGAAATTTTGCGGGTAGAGAGTGAAAATACCAATAAAATGTGTCCCCCAAAAATTCACGTGTCCGAGTAATTTGCCTAACACCTGAAAAAATCTAGGTGGGAAGTTTTTCGTGCCTTACCCTGTATAACTTACAAATCACTAAGTATCTGGCATGTTTTCATTGAACACAATCAATAAACATTCACCAAAACCTTCTGCAGTAAACTTTATCTAACTTCCGTTGTCCTTCGGGGTGTCCACTGGCGGCCATTTTGGAAAATCGCCGCCACGGCCACCGGGGGGTAGTTGGCCGATGGCTCCACATACAAATTTGTTCATAATACATCGGTCTACCTCTATGCCAAATTTGGTACCCTTATTAAAAAGTGCACAATAGGTTAGCTAATCCTCTGTACTACAGCATGCATACATTCAAAGTTTTAAAGAAATAAATCATCTAAAGCAAACAATATAATAATGTTTTTGAGATGGTGAATTGCCAAGTCATTTATTAATTCTATTTAATTAGATTTTCAAATACAAGTTAAAACAAGATTGAATTTTATTGTATTATTTCTAATATTCAAGTTTCACAACATTGTGTTGGTATAAAAGTACTGATAAGAAATTCCTGGAATTACGTATGTATCATTGCATTGTTTGGTCATAGATAAAAATAAACTGAGTCACAGTAGTGTACTTAATTTAGTCCAAGTGCTTGCAATCTTTGAATTTCTCAGAGTGAACTCAAAAGTTACGGAGCCTTTGAATTTACAAATAGGACTACTGGTAAGCCTAATCTCACGACCAATTAATTAATAATCTTTACCACCAATGATCCGTGGAGTAAACATACAAGGGTTTGATATACATAGTTAACATGAGATGTGCAAAAATATTTTGGTTCGCTAAAGGCTAAAGTACAGGTAATAAAAAGCAACGCTGTCAAAGTTATCATAACTAGGAATAAAATAATTCCAAAACTACAGCGGCCTCCTGACTATAATTTTGCTGGTCTATTGATCTGACCTTAGTATAAAGGCTAACGATGTAAATGTATTTTCACAGTCGCAGTTTTGCTTTTAATTGAGTTCTTTTGTCCCTAAAAAATCCAATTTTAAATCGAAATGCGTCATTTTGACTTTTATAAACATCGTGGTCGTGGACACTGTCACGACAGGCATTACCACAAGAGGGACCGTAAACATGGTGGGAAATTCTGTGAAAAATTTGGAAAACGTGGACATCATTTCAAGGACATGTTATGTTCTATGGGAGATTTGGCTACCGCGAATCCGCAAGATCCTGATATTGAAGAAAAAGTGCGTTCGTATGTCAAGGAATTTTTCGATAGAAGTTTTTTGGAGAGACAAGCAGGTATGGAAAACTCGAAAGAAAATGAAGCTGGTGAAGGTACATCCAAAGCAGCTGCGAACAGAATGTGCATGTGGAAAGAAAGGGGTCGTCATTGTGGCTCGAAAGGATGTCAATATTGTCAAACTGCAGGTAGGAATATTTCTGAAGAGAAAACTCAAAATACTTCTGAGACAGAAGGTAAGAAATCAGAGGGAGATACTGAAGAAATTCCATATTGCCAACATCTTGACCATCATCATCGAGGATATGGAAGAAGACATCATGAGCATGGCGAATGTCGAGGTAGGTGTTCTGGAGACGAATCCAGTACCAGAGACGAACAATGGATGAGAAGAGGAAGGCGACACCATCATGATCATCGTGATCATCATCATCATGACAGACATGGATACCATCATCATGAAAGACATGGATACAATCACCATGGGCGCATGGGATGGAATACCCATGGATGTGACTGCTTCCATAATGAGGCTACTGCAACTGTGAAAAACGCTGATTCTGGTTTGCAAGAACCAAATCAGGAGGTAGGTGGCAGCGAAATGCAAGTAGATCCAGCACCAGCGCAGGAAAATGAAGAAGAAAGCCAACAGGAAGTTCAAGAGGTGGCCGACAGTTTGAGAAAATCGAGTCTTGAGTAGTTTTTTTGCAAGCTATTTGGTGAGTTCTAGAATAAATGTATTGCTGAAAATCGTTCCAATTATTTTATTGTTTGTTAAGAGGCAATTTGGTAACTTTTTTTTTTTGGCATCTAAATAAGTATCGAACTTTTTTTACTTAAAAATACGTAATTTGTGAAGTTACTCATGAATAAAAAAATAATATTACATTACATTACAACCAATTGCGCAATAAAGTATTTCCTTTCTAATTCGATGAAACACAATATATTAATTATCAATTCTATTTTTACACAACCTTGGTAAACTGAGGAATTAAACATTAAAACTTTGGTTGCCTTTTAACAAAATAATAAACTATGGTGAATATGCTGCACACTTTTTCTAGAATTTAACATTTAATATTTTATGGGATTATTATTTTTCATATTTAATGGGTTATCAATAATTACATATTAAACTTTGAAACAAGTTATTATTTATATAAAAATTATTATTTTTGGAGTAGGGAAACTTATAATAATGAAAATAAAATGGAATATCAATGTGGGGTGAGTGTTATCTATAAACATTTATTATTTGAAAAATGGAACTAATAATGTTATTATTTTTAGTGTAGAAGAAATTCAACACTTTATTAATTATAATAATAAATAAATGAAAAATGTGTTGTTGTTTTATTTATTAAATTTATAAGGTATTTAATAGCATAGGAGCAGACATGAAAAAAATTAAAATCCAGTATAGCTTTACCTATGTTTAGTCTATGAAAGCTTTAAATTGGGTATGACAGGCTGTTCCTTTTTTAATGAGTGAAAAAACCCAGAGCAATTTCACACCAAACACGTTGATTTTGTCTTTGAAAGCTAGAAATTGCTACGAAATGCTCCTATTGCACTCAAACAAACCTAAAAGAATTTCTTCTTATAGCAATTTCAAGCCTCAGAGTCAAAAATCATTTCTAAATTATGCTAAATTTGGCTGTGAAAGCTAGTTATTAATGTGAAAGGCTCCTCTCATCCTTTAATAAACCAAAAAGAGTATTTCATAACAATTTCTAGGTCTATGACCCTACAAGCAAAAATACTAATAGTAAACTTCAATCAATTTGATATCCTCTTAGTATAGGAACTTTCTTATGATGAATTTTAAGTAGAAAAAACTACATAGTACAGTGTAAAATAAATTTTCTACTCGATTTTCTATTTAAAATTCTTCGTGTTTTAAACTTTTACCAAGTATAGGCTGACTTATATCAAATTAAGATTTTAAAGACTACACATTTCTGTAAGGCACTTCAAAAAACCAAAACGAATCGCTTATAGCAATTTCTTGCCCCCCAAGTTGCCAGAGGCAAAAACCAATGCTAATCTGTTAAAATTGGCATTTTATAGTTGATTGTCTTGGAAAATTCATAAATGTGGTGGGGAGTTTTTCATGGACTTTCATAAGCCAACAAGAGTTTATCTTTGCAACTAATGGTGTTCTAACGATGACTACAACAAACTTGGAGGCTCCACCACCTTATCTAGTGAGTTAACCTACTCCTATCAGAAATTCCAGAAACTTGACTTGCCTTCAGAGTTTAAATATTTAAGTGCCATTTGCATCAAAGCAAAGAGTCTCTTATAGCAAATTCTAACCTTATCCTAAATGCTGATGGTTTTTATTGTTTAAGAAAATTCTTGTGGGAAACCATTATACTATTATAGAAATCCAGGTACGTATGACATTAGACTTACCGTTTTCGCTCCACGATAATTCCTTATTCTTTCGAATATTTCATTTATCGTTGCAGGTTGGTAACAAAAGTAATAGGAGTTCCATGTCAAATGTAAGCCATAAGTGTTGTAAATTTCGTCCAATTTATCGCTCAGTTGCTGGTTATTGCCATATACAAAGTTAGCTAGACAAGTGAATTGAGCCAATGCTGAAATTCCATCTTTATCCACAATCTTGCTGTTGCACATAAACCCTATGGCTTCTTCAAAGCAAAATATGACGGTGTAGCCATCTTTTTCTAGTTCTAATGCCTTGTGTCCTGAAAAAAGATAAAGTAAGAATTGTATTTGTGTGTATTGTGAATGGTCGCAAATTGTATCCCCATTTTTAAAGTTTGAGTTGAGGTTAGAAAATAAATATGCTGAACAAATGTTTTTCTTTTTGTTTCTCACAGAAATTTTTAGCGATTGGAGAACCCAAGTGAGATGAAAGCGAACGTACAGTCGTGAGCATTGAAAGTGGGACACCTGATTTTTCTTATCGTAAAACAAGCTCACCAGCTATACCTTCGGCAGTGACAGGGATTGTCATATTTGACAAAAAATCCATTGTAGAGGAAAGACTGATTTACCCGAAATAGCGAAAAAAGACAAGAACTGTCAGGCGGGTGTCCCACTATCAATGCTCACGACTGTACCCACCTTATAACATAATACTTATAGGCAGTCTTTTTTTGCCTTCAGGAGCGGAGAATTCTAAATGCTATGAAAGACTATAAGCAATCAGACAAAAATGAGTCAATGTCAAAAACATGTTTTTTTTCACAGATGCTATGTCAAAAGAACTTGAAACGGACAATACTTTTGGAGTTGCTGATGCTGATGATAAATACAGTTTTTATCTTCAATATCATCTTACCTATCCATTTAAAGCCAGTCAAGGTATCAACAAAATTAAATCCCTCAGCTTTAGCCATAGTTTGTAAAATCATGGAGCTAACTGTGCTTGAAATCATGTAAACTTTGTTCAGTGGTATTTCTGGATGTGTCCTTTTGTGACATTGCAAAAGCCACCAGCCCATTAGAGTTCCTATTTCGTTACCGCTAAATATTTTCCATTCTCCAGTCCTAAAATTGTAAATTTTCTAATAATTTATTCAGCTTAAATTAATGTATTTATTACTTTTGATTTTTTTCAGCAAACCCGAATCTGTCAGCATCAGGATCATTAGCCAAAATCACTGTGGACCCATGTTTCTCTGCGCATTGGAATGATAAATTTAGGCTACTTTTACCTTCTTCTGGATTTGGAAACCTATATATTCAAAAGAAAAAAGTGTTAAAAAAAACTGAAGGAAATCCTAGAATCTTTCAATAGATAATAGATAGAAGGAATAAGGAATTGAGTTTACATTTTGCTTCATTTACAAATGATTTCTTTAAAAAGCCCTAACCTTAGCAACTCTGGATCTGAATATGGTGCATATGTATCTTTTTGCAAGCTTATTCAGAATACAGCCACTAACAACACATGATTGCTAAAACAGAGTTACCTTTCTGAAAGATGATTTTATCAAAAGAACTTCCAATGTCTATTAAGTAAAACACCAAGAGTCTTTATAGCAATCTAATCTCCTTTAATTTTTCATGACATGAGTATCCAATATGAAAATAATAATAAAAAGTTTCGTTTATGTCGTTAGCAGTACCTGGCAATTGGAACGGGAGAAACTACATATTGTCCAATTTATTTCATTTTCAGTTGGCAGTCTAATCAGTGTTTTTATAATTTGCCTGGTTTGACAAGCCTGTTGTTGACAAACCAAGGAAATAGGCCTGCATAAGCGGATTGAGAATCTCATGTAGAGGGTTTTGCCTTGTCTTTAGCTAGAAGGTGTGCGCCTTGACGTCCACTAGGACTCACTAAGCATTTTTGCTCATGAGTTATTTTGTCTCTGGTTTTGATAAATTTTATATTCAATTTCTCACACCTTTTGAATGAATGATATTGTATGTCTTTGAGTAGATTTTCGGTTTAAATTATATTTATTAAATTAATAGGTTTGAAGCCTTATTTCCCAATACTTACTGAACAGTGGAAAATTCTGGATCAGGATCACGCTGCGCTGGTACAGGAAGAATTTGAACACCGATTGTATCGACTACCTTCTGGACTGCTTTATATCCAACTCCATGCATTGCAGTATAAACAAACTTTAAATCAACTGTCTTATTTTTAACAATAACATCTGGATGTACAATGTCAACTATAATTTCTTGCAAGTAAGCTTGCATAACGTCATCAAGAGGATCAGTTACCAGTGGGTTATTTTCAAGAATGTCTGTATTCCATGAGGACTCCAAGGGTGTTAAATTTTCTAGGATAGCTTGTTGAATGCGCTTGTCTGCTGGTTTGATTATCTGGACGCCGTTTGAGTCGTAGACCTAAATAATATTTTAATTTTATGCAAAACTTATTGGACATATATTAAGGAATGTTTACCTTGTATCCATTATCATCCTTGGGATTATGGGAGGCAGTCACCACTACACCGCTGGCACATTCATATCGTCTGACTGCAAAGGCTACAAATGGAGTGGGCACCATGCCACCGAACAATCTGACTTTGTATCCAGCATTGACGAAAATGGTAGCTGTAATTTCTGCCCATCTAAGGAGATAATATTATACTATACTTGTCAGCAATAATCAGGAGCTGTAATTCAAATTTGAATAAGATGCCAAATAGACAAATAATGATTTAGTAAAAGGTATTCCACTAAAAAAAAAAACCACTTACCTTTTACTGTTGTACCTCCCATCATACCCTATCACCAATCCATTTTTTGTAAGAAGGTCGTTCTTGTAGCGTTGCAAATAGTTCAAAAAGCCTTGCCCAGTCTGAATTATAACCAAGTCGTTCATGCATGAGTATCCTGCAGCCATTTTGCCTCTGAGCCCAGCAGTACCTAAAAAAAATATATCGCAGTTTTGAATAATGAGCTTCAAATTTTGATAAACGTTGCTTGGGAAACACAATGAGGTAGGGATTCTACCTTTCATTAATAGACTTATTATAAGCAAGAGGTATATGCATCAAATTTCAATTCATAGCCAATACAATGTAAATTTGGTGATTAGGTAGTACGGAAGTACCTACTTATCAACTCCTTCAGGAATAGAAGGCCTAATAATAAGAACTACCCACATCTGGGCAACATAAATTAAATTAAAAAGAATGGATAGAATATTTAAGAGAGTAGAAACTGCTATTAGGGTAGTTTTCAAAAATCTCTATTTAAGACAATCTTATCCCATGAAAAACCATGACCTTATGGCAAAATTAAATATAGACTTGATGTATGAATAATGTATAAAGTACAGGGTGGAACCATCAGTTGGCAATATGTTAGGTTTTCCGACTTACCAAAAGCCAGTCTGTGATGTAACTTTTTAGCAAGTTCGGAAGTGTCATTTTCACTAACGAGCTTCTTGATTTCATCTAGAGTGTCTTGATTCTTGTCCCATAGCAGCCATTCATTCACTTTTGCTTTGAGCAACTCTTCGGAATTGCAGGTTGACATTGAAAACTAAAAATTATATCTTTGTTTAGACTTCATGATTTTTTAAATGGACTGAATAGTTGGGAAGGAGAAAACATCTGTTAAAGCTTACCAGAATTAGTTGCTACAACGTTAATTAAATAATTAAAATTTAATTTATTCACTGATTCCTTGTCAACTGCATGGAAACATAAAAAATACTGATAGTGTTTTAATACTTAATAAATCTAAATAATAAAAATTATGAAACACTTGATGCAATATTGTTGCGATTTGCCACTGATAATTTATTTCGTTGGTGGTGTCAATGACGTGAATAATAAATAATATTTTCTGATAAAATATGAATTGTTAATTATTACAGCACAATCATAACAACTTTTATCAATGATGCAATTCAAGTTATTGTGAAATAAAATAGCTAGATAATAAATAATGCTGAGAATAATGCATAGATACCCTGTTTTAGATCTGTATATGGGATCAATTAAATTAAACTACATTCATTGAAACTTTATGAAAATGCAATGAACCAAACCCTTCAAGTACAGTGGGACTTTGGAGTGGCTGCAATACAAGCAGGATTTAGTGCTGAACACATAAATGCTTAGGTTTACTAGAAAACTCACTAGAAAAGGTTTAATTGGAAGTATAATCACTCGTATAATGATATGCAGGGGTTAAGTTAAACACCAATACCTAGGTACAATACAATTTCTTATTAGTATTATTACTCAGCATGTAGATGTTTTAAAATAAATATTGAATTTAGTGAACCTTCCTTCTTCTCTGACAAATAATGGTATTATTTATGGATCACTAATATCCTATACAGATGATAAAGTTGCTGTATTTTCTAGTTACTGGTGGGAAGACACAGAAAAACCAGCAGAAAACTAAATAGGTATACAAAAAACACACTACATAGCATTTGCCATCTCGCCTCTATTCTGGTATTATTGCTGACAAAGATTTACCATGGGATCAACATATTTTCAAAGCTTTTATATATTGAGAAATACCGAGAGACATATTCTAGAGAGAAGGCTACTTGTTATTTTTCATCGATCATCACTCAAGTTATTGAAATTTTAAGTTATGGAGTGATTGTATGTGGATAACCGATGTTAATTTTCTATTGATTTATACTTTTCTGTTCGTTGATTTCTTTTTGTTTTGATTGAAGCATGAAAAAATTTAAAAGATGTAGCTATACCTTGTAATAAAATATTGATTCATTTCTCACCTTATTCTATTAATTAGTATAATAATACTTATATTGACTGGCTACTATGGTTTAACTACTGTCTTATGTTAAGCACCGACCACTGACTCCCTTCTAACTAATGTAGAATAATTTATTTTAATTCGTTACATGTAAATTTGTTTTTTACAAAGACTTGTTTTTTATTAAAATTCCAAAGGGAGCAAAAATGATAACCTCAATAATAGCCAACTTTGTTTTGTTGGTTGCCCTCCATCAAATCCAAGGCCCACCTAGAACCACACTAGAACTGAATCCTTGAGCTATGACGTCACCATCAGTACACTGACTGAGGCATCTCATATAAACTTTTTTTTTTACTACTAACCTGAGAAGTAGTCATTATTCAATCTATTTTTCTCGGAAAAAATTGAATTTCTCTCCCTAGGTTAATAATGAAAATAATGAAAAAAAACCTAGGTCAATAATGAAAATGACGTCATGACGCAAGGATATTGTCATAACGTTACAGGTTTCTATTGATTTAATTTCAATTTCAAACTGTCAATTTAATCAAAAAAACAGGTTCCTGTATGTATCATAGGAAATTACCATAGATGTTGATAGAGGGCAGCACTTTCAACTAGAAAAAATAATTTGAGCTCAGATTTCAAACTTATTTTATATTTTCTACTATAGCAGTAGTAAAAAAAATTCTATATATTCCACGGTAGAGAAAGGCATTATATACCTTACGCATTATAAACCTCGGCGCTACGCGTCTCGGTTTATAAAAGCGCTCGGTATATAATGACCAACTTCTCTACCTAGGTATATAATGTACTATTTTTTACTACTGACCTGAGAAATAGTCATTATTCAATCTATTTTTCTAGGAAAAAATTGAATTACAAATTATTCATTTTCCTCTAGCAGTAGTAAAAAAAAATCTATATATTCCTGGGTAGAGAAAGTCATTATATGTATACCTCACGCATCACGCATTATAAACCTCAACGCCTCAACTATTTTAGGGGAGCCCTAACGATAAAAATTCCCTAAAATGTTATTTTTACATGGAGAAATGTCAGTTTAAGGCATAGGTTCCTATTGTTAGGGCTTCCCTAAAATAGTTGGTGGAAATGGCCATTAGAAAAATTAAGAAGAAAACGAAAATTCAAGATCCGGGAATAGACAAAATATGAGATAGAAAAATTGAAAAATAAAGAATAAATAAATATGTATATACTTAGATAATAATAATATTAGTAATAATACCTGAGTAAACATCAAAAAATTTGCAAAAATATGGCGGCAGGGGCGTGGCTAACTTCTATATTCATATTCAAAATTTGCAAGAATATGGCGGCGGTACCGAATTTCTATTTGAAAAGTCACTGTAGGTGGGCTGGGGCCATTGGAAAGGGTTGAAAAGGAAACAACCAATCAAATACCTTGACGATACATAAACCCCGGAAAGGGGCGGGGCTCACTAACCAATTGAATGCTCTCTGCTGATATCACTCGAATCTGATTGGAAAGGGGCAGGGCTTATATCCAACCTATCCAATGCTTTGTTGATATCCTTGCGTTTGATAACGAGTCAGCCACAGTGTTGCCAGCTTGACGGAATTATCCCCTTTTTGAGGAAATTTTCGATTTTCGTTCGCAAAGGGTAGAAGCGGAAATAGCGGAATTTTTAAAAAACAGACTGCTTTTTCTTTTATTTAGTCGCAAAATTTTCATATTATTCAATGAAAAATTGGTAATTGTAAATTTCTAGCACACGATATACACTAGGTATACAGGGTGGGCCATTGAACTTAAGACATTATTGAACTTTTTTTTTTCAAAAACGCGCCATTTTCGAGATTTTGAAATGTCTCAATTTAAATGGACCACCCTGTATAAGTATGGGTACAACATCTCATTTCCGACTGTAAGTGAAGGCGCAATAATTGTTTTATTCCACTACCGCGCGTAAAGTACTTACGTTACGCACCTTTTAGAAGACGTAAAATGTCACGCACCAGTGCGTAAAGTAGTTTTTTTACCACTAACCTGAGAAGTAGTCATTATTCCATCAATTTTTCTGGGGAAAAATTGAATTTCTCTCCCTAGGTTAATAATGAAGATAAAAATACGTAAGCAAAGAATACGTAAGTCAATAAGGAAAATGACGTCATGACGCAAGGATATTGTCATAACGTAACAGGTTTCTATTGGTTTAGTTTCAGTGTCAAACTGTCAATTTTAAAAAAAGCAGGTTCATGTATGTATATTATAGGAAATTACCGTAAGCTATTGATAGAGGGCAGCACTTCCGACAAGAGAAAATAATTTGAGCACAGGTTTCAAACCTATTTTTGATTTTCTACTAGCAGTAGTAAAAAAAATTCTATATATCCTTCGGTAGAGAAAGTCATTACATACCTTACGCATTATAATAACCAACTTCTCTACCTAGGTATATAATGTACTATTTCCCCGTCTGTCCTGGTGTATGTGGATTGTGGTGTCGGGTTAAATGTGGACGAGTAGTGCCTATTCTCTTCAATAAATAAAATTCTTTACCAATACCACCCAATACCTTATGTCACCACAGTTTAAGTCTATTATTTTAGATTTTCTTCTCCGGTTCCTGCTATATACATCTTAAGTACCAAAGTACCTACCTACCTTTGCATTTTCTCATCGGTCATGTTCTCTAGAGGTTACTCATCTATTTTTTTTTTTAAGTGTTTAATGTACGAAGGGGGAAGTGGGCAATTAATCTCTGAAGCGTTTTCTAAAAAATAACTCTGAAAGAGTTTCTCCAGTAGAAATTGGTAGGTATTCGGGATACTATTATTACAGTCACCAAATGCTCAAGAAATTCTTGTTTCAGTCTCTGTTATATTTATGACTAATTTCAATTCTTTTTATTATATGTTGATTCTGACGCTCCACTTCTGGGTCATTTGGGTGAAATACTATGAGAAAGCCTCATAATTTTCTTTGCAGGTATTTTTGAATACCTACCTGACTTCAAAACTCTGTCATCCATCGTCTGCTGTTATGGATTCAGGGAGACCAAGCCATCGCGAATATGTATTTTCTTACATGACCTGTATGGTGTTCTCGAAACCGGAAGTGATATTTTTCATGCCTTTGATCTCATATCTGCAATGGTAGTCTGCTAGCACAAAACGATATTCATTGCAAGAACTAATGGAACCCATAAAGTCGATGCTACATCCACTCAGCAGGAGCAGTAGGTAAATAATATAACTGTCTCCCCTCCATCGGTGTTGGAGCTGTGTTCAGTGCAGACTCGGATGGTATTGCTCCTACATTCTGACACAAGTTTTTCTGGATTAGAGTCTATTTTGGATCACCAACAGGTGGTAAAATAGCTTCTAATGGTTTGTGATCGGTGATTAAATAAAACTTTTGCCAAATGGCTACATTTTGAAATGCTCCACGTCGCACACCAAGCCTCTTTTTCCGTTTGACAATATCCGCGATCATCCCATCCTCGTTATCAATGTGACTGGTATTTATCTCACAAGTTCCTCCAAGGAAGTGATAAATAAATTTCTTTAATGACAAAGTGGTGAAGTCTTTTGAAGTTTTTTATCAGAAAGATGTGAAGGGCCCCACACACTACGTTATCTGTCTCGTCGGTTTTCATCATCGCGATTAACAACGTTGTGTTTCATCGTCAGCCTGTTTTCACCACACACTACACGCGATTTTTTGGCAGTTGGATCCACATACAACGGTTTTGGAACGAAATGTTTAACCGTCGTGCCAAAAATCAAGCTCGGACTGAATTTTGAAGCGACGATAAGACACGACGGTTTTCTACCACACATTTCGGTTTTAGATCGTCACGTGTTTCATCGCGGTGATGAAAACCGACGAGAAAGAACGTAGTGTGAGGGTCCCTTAAGGGTAAGGATTCAAGCAAGGTAAGGTGGGGTATTTGATGGTTGTTCAACTGAAAAAAAAACACAGAGACGGGACAGGGTGTGAGACAATGTTCCTCACACAGGCATACTGAAATTAACCATCAATAACCAAAATTAACATTCCATTAATTACGGTCTTTTTTCATCCTCGATTCACCCGATTGTCAAGGTATCCTTTAACTGAAGGAAAAGTTCCCTAGCCTAACAAACTTAAACAAACCGACTCGAGATTGTGAATTGGTAACAGCTTCGAGAGAATAGATGGCGTCTCATATCACTTATTAAATATAATTTTGCACTATTTACAAACCGGTGCAGACACTGAGAGGGAATTGGGAATAGGGGATGTTCAGTGGCGTAACTTGCAGGGGTTGTATTTTGAAAATGATTAAAATGTAGAATAGGCCAAAATCAAAACATCCGTTTGAATAGTATTCAGTTACTTGTCCTTGTAATCTTTCTAATGAGGTACCATTTATTGCCGACTAACGATCCTTATCCCACAAATAGTTAATTAGAATTTTGATTTGTGGTCAGAATAGTATTATGAGTTTTATGCGAGGTAGACCTTCTGGGATAGGTACCTACGGGGTTGTGTTTTTGTTAGTATTTTTTATCTTCAAGTTACGGAAAATGTTAAGGATAGGGCTTTATTATTATACTGTAAGGGATTTCGCTGGTCCATTGCAAAATCTCTTAACAACAACATTTGAGTACCTACTAACAAAAACATTCAATCGAGCAGTCACTTAAATACTTATTTATTTAAATTTTAAATCATACGATGAAAATCCTGAATGCCGTGGCGCCGGCCGGCTTCTCCGCAGTATTGTAAATTCGTTACAACTGCTTCTCCATTCAAATCAGATCGTCTCGAACTGATCAACTGACAATATGTATTCTCGTGATAAAGTTTCACTCAAGATGCGCCACCCTCCCTATGTCTACCTATACCTGCACTCAAATACATATCCTATGCCTGTCATGGCCCTTAATAAGAACCGTTTCTTCCGAAATACTCTATGTTCTCCATTATCCCAAGTCGTTATCATCGATGTATCCTCATGCTTGCTTTACATTCTATGTCTGCTAATCCAATCTAGAATACCTTTACTGTTAATCCAGTTTCGACCTCGGGCCTGCGTGGTTCTTATTTCCATGGACTAGAAGAATTCCTCCTGCCGTAGGAATCTGTAGAGCGTCTGTTTGAAGAATAACGTTAAACGTCTGGATCAGTCGCATCCCAGCAATTTTGTTTCCGGTTTTTTCCTTCTTCGCTCGCCGAATTTTTTTTTCTCCAGTTTGTTGGCAATCTATTGCCGGTTTCCTCCAAGTTCAAAAATGGTTGCCACTATCCTCTAATAAGTCTAATTGATCATTGTTCACTTCTTAGCTCTCCTGAACTCTCTGTTCTTGATCAGCTTCAAATCGAAGGCTTCCAAGAGGAACTGTTTCACACTGATGAATTCTGATGCAGTGCTTGCATTGCAGGGTTGCCTGAATAAGGTACTTGCGTTGTTATGCATTCTAACAGAACGATATTTGATTCAAAAATAATCGTACTCTTGCAATTTCTACATCGAAGATTAAAAGTCACCAGAAGTGAGATCTCAGTCGTACTCTACAGTATCGTTTAAAATGTCCTCTTCTTCTGCAGTAACATTAGTTGCCTCCTTTCAAGTTTCCTTATTTGATTCTTGTGACAAAACTTTCGTATTTCTCCCAGAAGTTCCTTATATTTCTTATATTGTGTATAGAATTTCTCGGTACTTTTTCTGCTCTTATTGAAAGCTACTGATCTTTGGTTCGGTTATCTCATAGGCCGCCACTTTGCTGATCTAGACATATGAATGAAACAGCAAGCAACCGTGTATTATGATCTATACGATACGCCAATAACCGTATCGTACTATAGTTTCGAACAGTTTCGAAAAACTGCAGATAGTTGATGACTAGCAAGTTGGCAAATGCATCGGAAGAAATGGGCACATAGTAGATGAATAACGGAGAACATTGAAGAGAAGAAACCAACCAAAGAGCATCAGGAATTGTAGGAAAAAACTGCTAGCATAGCATTTACGCAGAACAATATGTGACTAGTGTCGAAAACTAAAACTATAGAAGACTCAAAGGCACCATGGAGCGGATAATGCTGAACAAAACCCTCTGACAAGAGAACACTTTTATAAGAGCGAGTTCTGGCAGGATAGTGTACCTTTGCTAGGCAGAAAAACCCCGCCAGTCGGTGTCGCGAACTACTGATAGAAGACCACAGGTGACTGATGAGATGAATCGACGACCCCAATAAACTAAAGAGGGTAGGATTATGCTGGCGGAAATTGGGAGATACTGTAATATCCAAAAATGGATGTTTATTAGCAGGCTGAATACTTGAAAGAAATCTCAAACCAGTCAGAGCGTTTTTGATTGGTCCAAATCGCCAACAACCAGTTTCCTGACTACTTCCAACCAATGAAATTCGCTCTGACTAGTTTGTGATTTCTGTGGAAACAGACCTAAAATCTTTTTAGGTATTTATGACTGATGACTTACAACTTACAAGTCCTATACAGGTCTCTCATTCGAAGAAGTTGACAATCCAATTTCCAATTAAATGCAACTACTGTTTGAATTTTGAGCCCTTCAGTCCCTTTACTCCCTTTCTTTCTACGTCTATTGCCAGCAGAAGTCAGTGCAAAATTCGATTTTTCATACTGGGTCGTTCCCCCACCGACTTGTGCTGGCTCCCGCTCGATAAGGACCATCTGCTTGCGAACGGCCTGAGCGCCCCCAGACCCCAGACCCACCGATTTTAATTTTATTTTGCTTCTTGCATCGCTACTCGCTCCACCACAAAAACAGTCGTTTTACAGAGAGAGAACCACCGCGTGTTTTGGTTGTACCGGACGTTTTGCCGGCATCTTTATATTTACTTTTGTTTTTATTTTATTTATCAACTCTTTATTGCTAAAGTGCTGTTTGGATTCAGTGTTGCAAAATCAGAACTGTAGGTACTGTGTTTTCTTGTCCTTGGAAGCAAGATCTATAGTATAAAGAGGGATGGCTATTTTGAAATTGATTTAACTTCAATGCAAAGGAATTTATTGTAAGTACCTACATACATAAGTAGTAAATAGTTTTGTTTTTTTATTTTTTTTTGTATAAGAGTAGTATCCTACAAATGTGTACCTACTCAGATATTGCGATAATAATAGACCGCCTTACCTTAGTTTATTTTTTAAAATATGAATCCCAAATTAAAATTATAATAATGAATAATAAGAACGAAATATCTAGGTAAGTATACAAAACACTGGGTTTTGTTAGTACCTAGTAGGATTTCCACTTTGTCTTTGCCTGCTCTGATATCTCCATAAACAAAATCAAATTATAGGTACCTATCATCTCATAGTGAGCTTTGAATATAACAACCAGACCAAGTCAATTGATCCAATAATTTTCGATAAATAGAGCCAATTCCATGCTTCTTAAGCTTAAAGGTGGATATCGTTCATGCTCAAAACCATATCCAGCAATAAGAGCACCTAGGTTGATGCAAACGGTCATTGGTTCAAACATACCTACCTAGTTTAATTATAAAACTACTTATGCACTGATAATGTATTATCTTTGCCTTAGTCTTCGATTTTAATTTTATAATTTTCCTTATTTTTATAGAGGTTGAACAATTTAGCAGACTGATATTAAGTATACAGTAGGTATATTAAGTAGGTTTGAGAAGTATTGACTCAAATCGCATATTTTTAAATTTAATTGACCGTCAAGTTGTTTTTGCCTGATTGCGAAAGACTTCAAATTAAAGATTTTCTCAAAAACTTTTCCTGCTTTCCTTCCATATTTAGGTAGGCAGGAAAGTAAAAACATGCAAATCAACAATCAAGGAACTTTCCAGCCTGAACTTTTTGCTAAAAAAAAAATTAGTATTCAAATATATATTTATGTAGCCCATTTTCTTCTATAAAATCAAATATATGTAGCTCGAAATGTAGAATGTAGGTGGTCCACTATAACTCCTCTTTATTAACAACAACTTTTCATGAACAAGGGGACGATTGAGTTTTAACCTGAGGTTGACCACACCTTCAGGTACGGTCAACTTTAGATTGAAACTCAACCTTTGGTCAACCGGACTTTATAATATGGGCCCTAATTGAGTTTATGAAATAATTCACTTATTGCCCAATAAAATTTTGTTGTAACATGTACCCATCTAACATTGCAAAATCCCTAAAAACTGCCAGGGTTTTCAAATAATTCTCAGTGAAAATTTCGCGGAGATTGTAGAAGTAGGTGATTGCCTGATTTCGAGTAAGATTTCAAAGATTCCAGGATTGCAGGAGGGATTTCGGCAATCGCGAAGTGGCTGTGGGATTTCAGGATGATTCCAGTAACGTTTGCAAGTTATTTCAATCGTCAGATTAAATGTACACTTATTGGTAGAGATGGATGCCCACAAATTAAGTACCGATTTGTGTCCTTTATAATATATAATAGCTATTGTATTGGAATTGGATAAAATATAATATAGACCTTGAGAAAAAATACCTACTACCTAGTATTAATTTAATAAGATTAACTAATTATTGATGTCTTCAACATACAACAAGTAGGTACCTGATGTAGGAACCTACATACCTTGCTTTCTGCTGGGCTTTGGTCTACAATCCTTGAACGTTTTATTTCCGTTTTCTGATTAATTTATGGTTATATTTATTTATAGGATACTTCAATACCTGTTACCTTGCCTTCAATTTGCATGACTGCAGGAAATAGAAAAGAACTAGAAAGAAAATTAACTTTTTTTTTGTGATTACAAGGAAGTCTTTCCTTAATCTCTATGAGTACGCCAGATCCTATATTTTAAAGGCATTCGTTATTGAAACCCCATTTTAAGTGAAGCAACAACTAAAGTAGTAGTTTGCTTCAAAAATACAGACATAAAACATCTTTTAAGAAAACTACCTACACCTACCCACATAGTAAAACAAAATAAAAATGTATTAGGTATATTCGAAGACCATGGTCACATAATCAATATATTAATGTAAAACTGTTAATTTGTTTTTAAAATAAAGTATTAAAACAATATTTTTAGTAAAGTAACAACTAAAGTAGTACAAGTAATGTCGATAATAGCCTAATTTCACCAACTTGCACATAGTAAACTCTCTTCAAGTCAAGCTAGTAAGCCCAAGGTTGCTTGAAACGTTGCCTGCCTTGAAAGGTCGTCTCGGGTACCCAAAACATAAATAATGATGGGACCAAAAACGAAAAAAAGAAAGCTGAACATAGACCTGAAAATCTGGGTCTTTATGATTACTTCTTTGTAATAAGACTGGTCTTTGGGTATGTGTAATCATACCTTCTATGCAACAGAATTGTTATTATAATTTTGTTGTTGAGAAAATAATCAGGTTGTGTTATACTTATCATTCTTATGAATTTTACTCATGCTTATCAAGTAATTGTAGATATTCAGGAACGTTAGTTTTTATTGAAGATCTTCTGGACTTTCAAAATTTGCAATTAGGACCTGCAGGGAAAATGTTTGCATTTTTGTATATAATTTAATTGTTAGACTTAGTCTTATAGATCCTGTTTAGTGGAGTCATTTTTTTTTTGTATGGAATATTTTTTTTTTGTATGGAATATTGAGGGCTGAATGTGGCTAGTTAGCTGATGAGAATATAAGTGGTTTTAATGCCTGCTCCCTGTTTGAAATTTTCACAGAATGTTTCGCCGGAAAACTCGATTTCGAACCGTGATTACCGTCTGACGATTTTTCAGCGTTATTGTCACAACAAAACCTTTTATTCTCTCAATTGTCAGGCAAAAAGTAAACGCGGAAGGCTCTTTTCTTTTCTCTTGGAATTTGACACCCAATGAAAAAGTTATTTGAGGACCACTAGAAATATAATTTGCCAAATAGTACCTACCTACCTCTCTACAATAACTTACATACCCAGAGTTAGTAGAAAAGAAACGTCTCTTAAGCTGGAAGAACAAAGTCAGAAAAATCGAAAATCAATACATGGAACATTAAAGGCTCATTAAAGGCTAATTGAATGCCCCGATGAGAAATTTAAGGCTCCTTAATTTTTCGCGAAAATGACTGTTCTGCTAGCTTTAACTTAAGCTAGCAGAACATGAGCGAAAAAGTGGCTAAAATAACGAAAATTGCCATTCCACTTGCACAGACAATAAAAGCTCATTGAAGGCTCTGAAAATACACCAATCGTGAATTTCAGGCTCAATTACTTTTTTTGTGAAAATGCAAGAAGCGCGATGCGTGAGTGATGTCGGCCAAGCATGGCAGAAAAACCTCTCAAGACGGTGAAAATCACTGTTCCGGTAGTGCAGTCGTAGTGAATAAAGGCTATTTAAATGCTGTAATAGGAAATTTTAGGCTCCATCAATTTTCGCGAAAATAGCTATTCTGCTAACTTTAACCTAAGCCAGCAGAACATGGGCGAAAAAGTGGTTAAAACAAAGAAAATTTCAATTCCAGATGCACCGACATTAAAGGCTCATTGAAGGCTCTGGAAATACACCAATCGCGAATTTCAGGCTCAATTACTTTTTTTGTGAAAACGTCAAAAGTGGCGCTATGTGAGTAATGTTGGCAGAGCATTGCGGAAAAACCTGTCAGACAGTAAAAATCAGTGTTCCAATAGTGCAGTCGTTGTGAATACATCAAACGCTAATTAAATGCTGAAATGCGAAATTTTAGGCTCTGCTAGTTTCCACGAAAATGGCTATTCTGCTAGCTTTAACCTAAGCCAGCAGAACCTGAGCAAAAAAAAAGGCTAAACGATAGAAATTGCAATTCCACTTGCACATTGCACAGACATAATATTCAAGGCTCATTAAAGGCTCCGGAAATACACCAATCGCGAATTTCAGACATTTCTAAACTTACCAATAATAACCAGGTTAGTTTGGGTACTTTGCAATTTTAATCAGACTTTTCCAAACTCACTAAATCACAGAAGTAATTGAGCCTGAAATTCGCGATTGGTGCAATTCCAGAGCCTTTAATGAGCCTTCAATGTCTGTGCAAGTGGAATTACGATTTTCGTTATTTTGACCACTTTTTCGCTTATGTGCTGCTGGCTTATGTTAAAGCTAGCAGAATAGCCATTTTCGCGGAAACTAGCAGAGCCTAAAATTTCTCATAACAGCATTTAATGAGCCTTTAATGTATTCACTACGACTGCACTACCAGAACACTAATTTTCACCGTCTTGAGAGGTTTTTCTGCCATGCTTGGCACTCACGCACCGCGCTTTTTGCATTTTCACAAAAAAAAGTAATTGAGCCTGAAATTTGGGATTGGTGTATTTCGAGAGCCTTTGATGAGCCTTTAATGCCTGTGCAATTGGAATTGCAATGTTCGTTGTTTTAGCCCCTTTTTCGCTCATGTTCTGCTGGCTTAAGTTAAAGCTAGCAGAACGGTCATTTTCACGAAAATTCAAGGAGCCTAAAATATCTCATTGAGGCATTTAATTAGCCTTTAATGAGCCTTTAATGTTCCATGTATTGATTTTCGATTCTGCTGACTTTGCACTTCTAGCTTAAGAGATGTAGAAAAAGAAAAGGTGTATTCACTTTATCTTTTTTTTGATGTAACTATAGGAAAGATCCAATGAATATGTAGAAATGGCATTTATATTACTGTGGGAGAATTCTATGCATGAAGGAAATGCTGAATCATAATTTTGCATTTATCATGTAGACAATTAATCACCCTCATATTTAAAGTACCAATAAAATTCTGATATTTTTACGGTAAATTGAACATGACACGATTGTTCTTGGGGCGACCTTCCAATAATTTCAGTTTTTGTTTTTACTCAACGAATTCCATGGAATTTAAAATGCGGCAGTTGACCAAGATATAAAGTATAACCTACATTTACTGAAATAAGATTTCAGTTGTATGCACAACACACCTAAGTATAACTTGTAATTTATTTTCGTTATTACCTTACATCAAGATCCATACAATAAAATGGATTGTTGTTTACATTTTTTAAATCAGACGACCTTTCAAGGCAGGCTGCTTGATTTTTCGACCAACCTTTC